TACTGGGGATGGAGTTCAAAACCACACTTTTAAGGTTTATCAAGAACTTTCTAGAAACCGCCGACAAATTTAGTAAGACCCTCAAAAAGATGGGTGAGACTGCTGATAAATGTAGTGAGATCCTCAAGAAATCTTGAGTGAGGGCAGAGGGCAGGGTGGGAAGCAGGTGGAGGGGAGCTATGGGGGGAAAAAGAGAAACAACTGTAATAATCTGAACCATAAAGATTTAATTATTTAAAAAAATAAAATAAATTTAAAAAAAGAATAAGGGGGAGACAAAAGACTCATCTCTAGACTATATAAAGACACTCAAAACTCAACAGTAAAAGGAAAATAAAATCTAATTAGAAATAGATAAAAGACATGAGGCATTTCATTAAAGAAGACATATGGATGTCAAATTAGCACATGGGAAAATGTTTGACATCATTAGTCAATAGAAAAATGCCAATTGAAACCACAATGAAATATCATTATATGCCTGTCAGACTGGCTACAATTAAAAATACTGACACCACCAAATGTTGGTGAGGATGCAGAGACACTGGTTCATTCACGCATGGCTGGTGGGAATGCAAAATGGAAGTCACTCTAGAAAATAGCTTGGCAGTTTCTTAAGAAATTAAACATACGCTCACCGATGACCCAGCAATTGTATCCCTGGGCATTGATTTTCCCCAGAGAAGTGAAAACTATGTCCACGCGGAAACCTGTACACATTTTTTCACAGCAGCTTTGTCCGTAATAGCCCCAAACTGGAAAGAACCAAATGTTCCTCCATGGATGAAGACGGTTAGGCAATCTGCTGGGAGCCGGTCCATCCTTGCTGCTTGACACAGTCGCTGCAGGGAAGAAACATCTGCACAGCATATGTTTCAAGGGACCTAGCGTATATAGCATACTGTTCTTAATATGTTTGCTCCCCTTAGCACTATGTGTTTTAACTAAGGTCACCTCTCCGAGAAAGGTTGTTTCCCCAGGTAGGGATTTTCTCCTGAAGTTAGGGAGGGGATAAAACCCCTTAACTACGTGCCAGGCGGGTAATTACTCACTTTAACTACGAACAATCATGCTTCAGCTACATAATCTATACTTCCTGGAATGGAGATAAGCAACGCCCTAACCTTTGGAATATAG